TTTCATTTTAATGTATTTTTTCCCATCTTTATAAAAAGTACTCAGTGAATATCAAGTGAATACCCACATTCTGGTCTGTGAACCTAGTGTATAGCAGAACTTTTTGTTGTTGTTGTTTTTCAGAAAGTTTTTTTTTAAAGCAAGGGCTTGTCTCCATAGAATTTAAATAGAAATCCTGTACTCAGAGGCAAACAAACAAGATTATTAATAGGTCAAGAGATTCTGGGCAACTAAGGAATATTCTTCCTTAGGGAAGAACACACTGATTGGTTATCTAATACCAAATGTCAGCCCTGAAATCATACATATAAGTGAGATTATACAAGCTGAGCCAGTAATATTTAGGAATATATATGTGCATATAACAACAATCAGTGAAAAAGGAAGACATGAATTGGAAAGAGAGCATGGAGGATTACATGAGAGGGTTTGGAGAGAGGGAAGGAAAAGGAGAAATGATGTAATTATAGTATAATCTCAACAGTAAAAGGAATATTATGAAGTAAAAGTCATATGATAGAAAGTAACTACTGGAGTACAAATGATTATCCTGCTCTAATAGAATGTGGGTCCAAAAGACCTCAGGAGGACATTACCTGTGAGCTGAGCTAGCTGGGGCCATTGTAAAATCAGAGGTACTGGCATTCCAAACTGAGAATGGCAAATTCCATGTTTCAAAGGAACATCAACCTATGTAGCTCCTTTTCCGAACCCGTTTCCTTGACGTAACATTTAAGAGAGTTCAAAGAATAAGAAACTCTTAGGCCACTGAGGCTGGAACTTGCTGACCTAGGCATGGGGAGAAGAGATGAGAGAGATGATTGACAATTCACTTAAAATAGGCTAGAAATGAGAACCCACTAAAAGTGTTAAGACAAAGAGTGTCAGTATCTGTTTAACCTTTAAAAAGATAACTTTTAGCACAGTGTGGGAGGGAAAGGATGGGGGTGAGTGACGGCTCATCAGCATAGGTGCTTGTGGCTAAACCTGAAGACCTGAGTTCAATCCATGTGAGAGTACTAACTTCTAAAAGTTGTTCTCTGACTTCCACAGGCACACCGCGACATGCTCCTCCCCAAAAGAAAAAAAATTAATTTTCTGCATGATACCTTTTATAATGAGTGTACAATGTCAGAAATATAGACAAATATGTTTGTGTCTTTCCACAATCTCATAATTTCTTGAATAGCAAATGCATTTATAAGGTTTCAGTGGCAGTGGTGCCAGATAATCCTACCTATTCTGGCAAATGTGGCTTAGGTAAATGTAAGATCCTTTTTGTTTTCCCAAACTTAGTAAGATCAATTCTCATGTCACACAGCACACATTAAATATATCTATATATCTATATGTGTATATGGTTTACAGAATGAATACAAGGAATAAAGGCTGTAGTGGAGCTCAAAAGCTTTCATGAGTAGACTGGGATGGTGACTTCCTTAAGAAGATAATAATCTAGACCCGTACCAGCAAGGACCTGCTGCTGGAGCTGTTGGAATCAGGGCTGGAGAACAAGGATACAGACTACTCCTGTGAAGTAAAGGGCCATGCCAGAGTCTAAGAAGAGGAAAAGTGAATTCCAGTTCTGAAGGGCAGGCAAACAGTTGGACAGATAGACAGTGGAGTAAGCCATGTCAATAGTAGGATTCCAAACACAGTTTCAACTCCCAATATAGTTGTGGAGTCCTCCACTTACTGATCCTAGATGCACTCACAAGTATCAGATAATAGGCTGGTGTGTGACTGTGTCATCACAGTATTAGGTGTCCACTTTATGTGGTCCATGAAAGGAAGTCATAGCCATATGGTCTGATATGTCTGATAAGTTCTTGGGCATGGTTTCTCTCATAGGATTTTACAATCTCAGGTTACCCCAATAAATTTATAGGGTACCTCCTTTTCTAGTCCCAGGAATAAGCTATTAGTCTGATTTCAATGGGTAGGGTCTAACAGATGTTATAGATTGTGAATCTACATGGGGATTGGAAAACCGTTATTGTATGCAAGACAGAGTAGCTTAGAGTGGGACTTATAGCTTGGTCTCAACACTCTACAAAAGGGCAAGGACAGAAACTAAATCAAGTACCAACAAATATATTATTTGAAAGTGTGTGCTTAGCTGGGCATGGTGAGGGCAGAGGCAGGAAGATGGTTTCAAAACCAGCTTGTGCAATACAGTGAGACCCTGTATCAAAAACAAAAACAGCCCAGTTAATTTAGACATGTAAATTTGAACAATAAAAAACTAAGGACAATATAATACAACAGGTGGAATAACTGCTAATAAGAAATATATATATTCTACCACATTTCAAGTGGAAGCTAAAAGTTCTTTTCTTTTTTGTTTTCTTTCTTTCTTTCTTTCTTTCTTTCTTTCTTTTTTAGTTTTTTCAAGACAAGTTTTCTGTGTAGCTTTGGAGGCTGTCCTGGAACTTACTCTATAGACCAGGCTGGCCTTGAACTCACAGAGATCCACCTGCCTTTACCTCCGAATGCTGGGCCTAAAGGCATGTGCCACCACCACCCAGCTAAAAGTTATTTTCTAATAAGTAATAATTTAATAAACACAGGTTTACATTTAAAACGCTATAAAGATTACACTAGAGGTAAAACTGAAAAAAGCAGCAAGATTATCAAAGGGGTGACATAAATTCACATAGAGACACAATACAAACAAAGAAGAAAACAAAAGGAAAAGGTATGCCACAGGTATTTTTTAAAAAAAAAATTGACACCAACAAAGGCAGTAGCGTGGCTTTGGTGAAGCAAAAAAAAAAAAAAATGCCTAAATGCCTATCAAATGGATTAAGGCTGCTGTCTGGAACTTAATGTTGCATGTATATAATAGGCATTCAGAAAACATTTCCTGACTTAACTATTAATGCAGGAAAGCTGAAAACTAAAGAACAGAAGAAACTACCAAGGAAATGCAAATCAGCATAAAACAAGAATGTTTCCTTGGACCAGTGTCTGTTCAAGAATATGCTGTTTACTTTCTATAATTTTGAATACATTCCAGTGTTTCCTCTGACATTTATTTCTAATATTATTACATTGTAGTCAGAAAAGCTTTTTAATGATTTTTTAAAAGAATTTTTTGTAGGACATAGTCAAACATACGGTCTACCTTTGATCACATGCTCTAGTTAAGTAAAAAAAAAAGTGAACATTTCTGACTTTGTTGGGTAGAATATTCTACATAGTTTTGTTAGACCCAAGTGGTCTACGGTTTCTCTCAAGTCCATTTTCTCATTCATCTTCTACATGATTGTTTAATTTGCTTTTGAAACAAAGTATTAAGTCTATAATTGCTATTTATTTGGACTTGTCTGCTTCTTTCTTCAATTCTATAGACATTTATCTCATATATTTAGGCAATTTTTGGTGCATATACATTTAGTTGCTATATACTCTTGATAGACACACTTGTTTATCATTGTAAAATGTCTTTTTCATAACTTGTATTCCAAGTTTGAGTTTTAGGCTTGATTTAATGTCATTGTAATCAGCTATTAGTGTGGTCATCCCAGCTTAGTTTTGGCTATTTTTGTGGAATATGTTTTACCATCCATATCCCTTTGATCTACATGTATTTTTATGTCTAAAGGGAGTTGTAGATGGCATACAGTTATATCCTATTTGTTTGTTTGTTTTGGTCATTGCTGGGTCCCTCTTCCCCCACTTTTGACAGCTGATGTTTGATAGGAGGAGGCAGTCAATTTGCTAGTGAAGAAAGGATAATCCAAAAGTTATTTTCATGAGGCATGGAAGTTGTGGAGAGAAGGTTCCATACAAGACCTCGGCTATGGTTGGTGGGTGCTGACAACACTTTTGCTTCCTTGTCTTCCTTCCTTTCTTTTTCTTTCTTCTTTTGGATTTTCCTTTTTCTTTTCTTTTCTTTTTTTTCTTTTTTTTTTTTTTTTTTTTTTTTGTTGTTTTCGAGACAGGGTTTCTCTGTGTAGCTTTGTAGACCAAGCTGGCCTCCCACAGAGATCCATCTGCATCTGTCTGCAGAGTGCTGGGATTAAAGGAGTGCTTTAATGGCTGGCCTATTTCTTTGCTTCCTTTTCTTATCAAACTAATGTGTGTATACACATAATGTATATGTGTTATATATAATTTGCATATAATGCATAAGGGTTTAAAGACTAAAAAAAAAAGTCCCTTCATGTCATATCTTAATCTCTTCTTTCAGCTCTCCAAAGTAATTCTTTGGATTCTTTTTTGTTTTGAGACAGGGTTTCCTTGTGTAGCTTTGGAGCCTGTCTTGGAACAGGCTGGTCTGGAATTTACAGAGATCTATCTGCCTATACATCCTGAGTGCTGGGATTAAAGGAATGTGCCACCACCGCACAGCAAGTCTTTGGGTTCTTAAACAGCGGCTTGTTTCTGGCAGTCTCTGTACCCGAATATAGTAAGCATATTCCGTTAATAGTTTTATACTTTCCTAACTTCTTATGAGAATACAGTCTCTTATGAGAATTTTTCCCACACCAAATTCTGTATGAACAAATATTACACGTTAATCAGAAATTTTAAAAATGCATTTGCAAATTTTTTAAAGTTAAGTGGTGAATGTGTTAAACCCCGTGTGTGTTTCTGGTCCTGGCAATAACAAACTTATTGAGAGTTTTCTATGTGAAAAACAGTTTAAAGCACTCTAGATGTAGTGATTTTTTTTAATTATAAGACCTTCCCTAAGGACTAAGGGAGGAAAAGTTATCACAATAGCCTTTTCTGCACGCACCCCCAAGCATAAGCCCCAGTGAGAACAGGTAGCTTTGCAGGTATGGAAATTGCAACCTTCTCCTTTAACAAGCAGCGGGTGGGCGGGGCCACGTCCGCCAGCCTCCAGTTTCCCAGTGCCTGCGGGCGGCCTTAAGGGCCTGTGGCGCGGAAATGAGAGCTCGGGCCACGTGACTGCGTGCGGCACTCTGGCTTTCTTAGAGCAGTCTCTATGGTATTCTTCCCAGCTTCCCCCCCCCTCTCAGCCCCCCAGGGTAGCTGCACGTGACAGGCCTGGGACTACGGCAGGTTCCCACGTGATCCTGGCCTGCAGTAGCGTGGCTGCAGTGAGGTTCCTGCGCTCCTGAAGGGCGGGCGCGGAAGTAAAGACGGCCTCAGGCGGATTCTTACTGGCGGCGAGATCGGGAAGAGCCACCAGGCGGTGACCGCTTTGCTTCTGCAGCTCGGGTCAGCTCATTCCGTTACCCCAGCCTTCGCGGGCTGCACAGAGGAGGACCAAGTTACCTTTGGGTCTTGAGACCTTGGGGAGCGGGGCCCAAACTCGGGACCAACTCCTCATCCCCCTTGCCCTCCCTCTCCTGCATCTCTTCCATTGCACGCACGGAATCGCTTGTGCCTTTGGGCTGGCCTCCTCAGCCGTGCCTGGAGACTTAAGTTCGGGTCGGTAAAGGTAACCGTGGGAAAAGCGGCCCCCCAGTGGACAAAGGCAGAGGCAGGGATAGAGCAGGCCCTACGGGCCGCGGGCGGTGTGCATAGGCAGTTGAGGAGGTGAGCCAGAAGAAAAGAGTACTGCGGATTTAGAAGGCACTGTGAAGGACTTGTTGCGCGATGGAAGAATCTGACTCCGAGAAAAAGACGGAGAAAGAAAATCTGGGCCCTGGAGTGCAGCCTCCACTCGGGGAACCGGAAGGATCGCTTGGGTGGGTGAAGGGTATTATGCAGTACCTAGGAGGGAGGGTGTGCTAATTGTAAAGAGTATTGTGAAATGCAACAACCCCTAATCTCCAATGATAAATTGCTTTAATTTACCAGTGTGGTTGATTTGTAGCATGCCCTTGATGATAGGAAAGAAAAACAGAACAGAACGATCCCTTTGCCTGGAGCTGAGATTTCTGGTTTGTGCGTAATGTTCTAATTGAGATACTTCTGAGTTGTTTTGCATTTTCTATAAAGATGATTTATCACCGTGTTAGTGATAAAAAGAGGGAGACGACAGACATTTACTGACCAATGACGTAGAGTCCGATATGCCTGTTTGAGAACTGCGTTATATGTACTTGGTGCCTTTAATGAATGAAATGCAGCTTGGAAGGACGAATGAAGGTCCAAAGATGCTTCCAGATTTGAAAAATAAGGAGCTGAATTATTTTTAAAAAATAGTACTCAAATATGAGAATATTCTTTGATTTATAAAAGTGCCCAGAGTAATGCGTTAGTTTTATGACAAAATATCAAATCTTGAATTTAAGTGGTTTATATTCCTAAATATGTCTTCCTAGGAAGCATCTCCCGAGCTCTTGAAGGAAGCAGGGAACATAAACCCAATTTTATAATTTATGAAAACGAAGGCTTCTGAAATGAGGTCTCATGCGTACTTAGCTGTTTTAAACAGTGTTGTTCTGCTTCTCTCCGTTTACTTGTTTTTTTTTTTATTTCTAAGGCAATTAGATCATGGAAACACTGTCTTTTGTTTTATATCTACAGGTGGACAATGCCAAATGCATCCATGAAGAAAAAGGTAAGATGTGTTAGAAACATGAAGAAAAAGGTAAGAAGTTACAGTTCAGGAAATCTGTCTTTTTCTGGACTATGGCAGTAACTTATATGGTCTTTCGGACTCTCATCCCTTTATTTAATGTCAGATTCACTTTGTCTAAAATTAATCTCATGGAGTCAAGCCATATACAAACATTACACAGACCTCTGCACACATTGCTTCTTTAACCCAAATCAAATGTTACATGGGTTGTGCTAGCTGCAGTTGGATGTCCTTTGCTTTGTACTTTTATTGGGACTTAGTGTCCCTAAGAATATAGTTCTGAAGCAAATTTCTTGACCTTTGTGTGATTTAGTGTCATTTGTAAAGTAGTAACCCTCATAGGACTATTAGGGAACTGTGAGGGAACTAACCCTAATCCTAACCTAACCCTGTAGAGCTCAAACATAATTATCCTTGCCTTTTCATGAAAAGGTCTAATATTCTTAGCCTGACTTCAGCCAAAATCTAATTCTGTGCCTTAAGTTTGCTAGGAGGATGTTTTTGATGAAATGTTTGAAGTCACTATCAACAAGGATGCCTAAAAATGTCAAAAATCTCTACGTGATTAGGAACAAAAATTAGATACAGTGAAAAACTTAAAGAACTGTGAAAAGAGAAAAAGGACAAAAATTCATTTGATTTAATCATTCCACAATGTACATGCATTAAAGGATCAGTTTGTATCCCCAGAAATATATAGTTATTGTTTTCAGCTAAATTTTTTTTGCAAAGGACAGGGAAAACTTCCATATTAATTTTAGACTAGCTAAGCAGTTACATTTTCTTAGTGGGGTAAAGTTGTCTAAATTGTTACATTGAATAAACCCATGTCCAGTATGTTTTCAATGATATTCCTTATGTTTTTAATCAGACATTTCAATAAAATACATTGGGATTAGAGGTAGAATAAGGAATAGGTATCCCTTCCATTTGAAAAAGAGGTGGTTTTCAGAATTACATTTCATAAACTGTGTGTGTACAAGGAGTCTTTGAAAGTCATTTAGTGCAAGAATATATGGCGTATTCACAGGTGTCTTTCTTATGTTAAATTCTGACACAAAAAAAGATGACTGTAAGGTCTTGCTTTCAGACAGTTATTGCATTTTGGGTTTAATGGCTTGTTCATTCTTTTGATGAACATACTTCAAGCTTTTGTTACATATTAGGCACTGGAGAAACAAAGGATTCAACAGTCCTTCAACAGTCTTGTGAGAAAGTTCCCAAAACAAGGGACTGCAGAGCTTTGTGGTCTGCAATGATATAGTAGTACCACTAGAGGGCAGGCAAGATACCTAAGTCAGTGGTTCTCAACCTTCCTAATGCTTCAACCCTTTAATAATATAGTTCTTCATGTTGTGGTAATCCACAACCATAAAATTATTTTTGTTGCTACTTCATAACTATGATTTTGCTCCTGTTATGAATCATATTGTAAATATCTGTGTCTTCCAATGGTTTTAGGTAACCTCTGTGAAAAAGTCTTTGACCACCCCCATAGGGGTGGCGACCCACAGTTTCAGACCCACTGGCCTAAGGCATTTGGATCAGAGAAAATTATGGGGACGATATTGGGGTTTGAACCCACGGTTGCACTTATATTAGACAAATACTCTAGTACTGAACTACATCCCTAGTTCCAGAGAAAATTCTGGAGATGATTGTTGAACCAAGTGGGACTTAGTTGAAAGAAGAATAAAGGATCTGGGCAGTGGTGGACTCCTTTAATCCCAGCACTTAGAAGATAGAGACAGGTGGGATCTCTGTGAGTTCAAAGCCAGTCTGAACTACTTCAGAGCTAGTTCCAGGACAGGCTCCAAAGCTACACAGAGAAATCCTGTCTTGAAAAACTACAAAAAAAGAAGAATAAAGGATTGTAGAGAATAAATACAGAGGGAATACAGACATAGAGTCAGGACTCCTTAGAGGGCTGGAAACAGAGACTATATGTCAGTTGCTGAAAGTTCCCAGGCTGGGAGAAGTAGAGATAAAGACAGAAGTAGATAAACTAAACCAAGAATGGTCTTATGTGTAATTTAAGTGCCCAATTTTATAGGACATAGGAAAGTTAAAAGAGCCGACAAAAACTGATGAAAGTCATAGAAGTATGTGAAAGAGATGACATCATGGGCTGAAATGGGGGAAAAAAGTGATCTTGAACAAAGGAGGAGGAGCTTTTCAGTGATTGTGAAATCTGATAGTTGGGTCAATGCATATATAACCTTGTATTACAGGAGAATAGGGTTAGTTTCCTATTAAAATGGTTGCTTTCTTTTTTTAATTAATTTTTTCAAGGTTTATTTTTATGTGCATTGGTGTCTTACCTGTCTGTTGTCTGTGTGAGGGTGTCAGATCCCTTGGAATTGGAGTTACAGACAGTTGTTACCTGCCATGTAAGTACTGGAAATTGAACCTGGGTCCTCTGAAGAGTAGCCAATGCTCTTACCCACTGAGCCATTTCTCCAGAAAGATGGTATTTTTCTTTTTTTTTTTTTTTTGAGACAGGGCTTCTCTATATAATAGCCTTAGCTGTCCTGGAACCAGCTCTTTAGGCCAGGGTGGCCTCAAACTCACAGAGATCTTCCTGCCTCTGCCTCTCAAGTGCTGGGATTAAAGGCATGTGCCACCGTCACCCAGCAAGATGGTATTTTTCTTTTTGAAGATTTTATTTATTATGTATAGTGTTCTGCCTGCAGGCCGGAAGAGGACTCCAGATCTCATTACAGATGGTTGTGAGCCACCATGTGGTTGCTGGGAATTGAACTCAAGACCTCTGGAAGAGCAGTCAGTGCTCTTAACCTCTGAGCCATCTCCCCATCCCACAAGATGATATTTTTCTAATGTAATTATAAATAAATAGTATGTATAATAGCAGGGGGCTGCAGGGATGGCTCAGTGGTTAGGATCACATACTGCCCTTCATGAGAGCAAGTTCAATTCCCAGCATCCACATCAAGTAGCTTATGACTGCTTGTCATTACAACTCCTTACAACTCCTAGAAGACCTCACATCTGACACTTGTATTCATGTGCACATACCTCTCCCTCACACACATAATTAAAATAATGAAAATATATCTTTAAAATATTATGTATAATAACAAACTCACTGCTGTTGTAGTCCTAAAATGATGTGTAACTTGTAGCAGGTAAGTGGTTGGCATTTGGAATGTTATTTGGGGAAGAGTTTAATTAATTACAGGTATCCATACTGGTCATTGGTACATCCACTTCTGTAAAATGCCAGCTACAGAGGAGAAATGGATCCCTTTACACTAGATTTGCTCTAGATTGCTAACTTTTTCCTTTGTTCTTAGGTGCTGTTGATGGGTAAAAGTGGATCTGGTAAGACCAGCATGAGGTCTATTATCTTTGCAAATTACATTGCCAGAGATACACGTCGCCTTGGTACAACAAGTAAGATGTTTCAACTAATTGTAAAATGAGGTGACCTTGGCTATTAATAATACGCATAACACACTTGATTGCAGCAGCTTGGGAATGCACAGGTTGATGAATTTGCTTTGGAGCATGCTTTCCCTTTTTGCATTTCTCCTCAGAATGCGTGGCCTAATTCTGGTTATTATTGCTCACTATCCTTGGGAGCTGCTTTCCTTTCTAGGGTGCTTGCAAAGTGGGAGGCTCTTAGCTAACTTCTTGTGTATCCTGCTGTCTCTTAGGCAAGAATAGGGACCCTTTGCCTGCTTATTTTGTGGGGAGAATGCTTGTTTATCATAACTTTTTATACAAAGGGGAAATTAATAGGCATTAACTTAGCATACAATAAAATCTATGATGTTTCTAATGTAGGAAGTAGTCCTTGTCCTTATTAAAAGGAAAACTTGGGGATAATAAGGAGTTCTTCACTCTGCCATTTCTCCTTTTTTATACACCTAGATCTTCTCTTTGGAGTATCTACTCTGAGTTGTGAAACACCTTATTAGACCTTTATAGCTAGAGTTAGTATAGACTTCTGGGCTGGGCTGGAGGGATGGCTCAGCTGTTAAAGGCTAGGCTCACAACCAAAACTAAACTTCTGGGCTATCATGGCTACCAGACAATGAATGAAGAATCCTGGGAGTGCCTTACTCTGAAGCAGATTGTTGTTTCATTCTGAAGCATCTAAGCATTTCTGAAGTCTGCCTTTGTTTTTGGGTGAGGAAGGCATTGTTCTGTCTAGCCTTCAGAGATTTCATCTTTAATACTTTTATCAGCAAGTTAGCTTTTTTCTATAAGGTGCTCCAATCTGGTTTCAAGAGTAATAAACATCTTTTGAGCACATTATGCTCCAGACTTTGAGATACAAAGGAGAAGGAACTTTTATTTCTGTTTCAGATTTGCCATTAGGGTAGACTTCAATAACTTGAGTAGAAACTTGATGATTAAAAAGATACTTTCTAGATAGAGTCCCTAGTCTATTTTTCTTTCTGTTCTGTTCTCTACAAATATTTGAGAATATTCAATATCTCAATTTATCTGACTTATCTCCTAAATTTCGTTATCCTTACCTTAAACATCTCTGGTTCCTCGTTTGACATAATTTTGGATGTTTTTAAGGACTTGTTCAAACTTGTCTGTATTTTTCTTATAAGACATGAAAGCAGATTCGGTTCAATTAGAGCAGGGCAGGCATACTATATCTCTTATACTGGGTATTACTTTGCTGTTGGCATGATAAAACCCCACCTTGTTTTGGAGCAACCTTCATTTTATTGAATCATAATAAAAGCTCCAATTCGTCTTTGCATATATTTGGTTTATTTTTACATTAAATGGCTCGTTTCTTTATTTTGGAATCCAAGTCACTGGGTTGCAGTTTTCTTATGCATAATAAAAGGAGTTCCTATTTTCATTTTAGCTATTTACTCTCTCTCACGTGATATGTTTGCCATCCTTCATAGTCACATACAGTTTTATATTTGATAAGTATCTAAGTTACTGTCAAAAGTCTTGGTAAAGATAGTTTCCTATGGCTTGTCACACTTGTAGAGTTGGCATCTAGCCTCTAGAAAGTGTACTTGTCCAAGTATTTTTCTGTGTCTTGGTTTGATGTATTTAACTTTTCTGTTCCAGATTAAATATATAGTCCTAGTATCTATGTTGTTAGTAGAATAGAGATGATTATTGAAGTACTGTAACATTCCTGCTCTCATTTGCTTTAGTTTTCATATTACCTTTATTCTAATAGATAATGAAAGTATAACTTGAAAATTAATCACATTTAGCTAGTAAGTGTCAGAGTTGGGATATTAGTCTGGGCTCTTCTCTGTATTATGACACAGCCTGTCTGTGTTATACTACTCAATTCCTGAAAGACTGAAAAATCTTTTCTTAGAACCACTGATATTTCCATTTCTAACTGATCAGCAGAACCTGTTTATTACCCTGAATCCAATGAACAGTCTCACAGAAAGATTTTCAGAATTATTGAAACTGCTGAAAATAGTTTTGACATAATTCAGCAGCATCATTAAAACATGATGTTGCAAATTATATAATCCTATTCATTAAAATAGGCCATTTATTCAACAAGTATATATCTAGAAGTGTCTCTTGCCAGATATTGTCAGTGGGATGGGGCTTTTCCCCCTAAGAATATGTCAGGTAGTAAATTGATTGGTAATACTTGGTTAGTATTTCCTGAATTTCCTTAAAGGCAGTAAAAATATAATGAAAAATGTTGGTATTAATGTTTAGCATATCATCATTAACTGGTTTGTCATTAATGAAGAAAAGTCTGTGTTTGTTGCTAAATGTGTAGACTAGTTCAGATTTTATGTAGTACATTCCTTTTTATTTGTTAATTCCTTTTGATGCAGTTACTGATTTTCTTTAAAGGTAGTAAATAAAAAAGTACTGCTTTTAAAATGTTCCTTGACTTTAATGTATTAGTGTTTTCCTAGTTTGTCGTTCCTGAAAAAAGTCAAGTTTTATTGTTAAATTTAAAGTTTCCTGCAGTTTGAAATTTGAAGTAAAAAAGAAATGATGTTATTAATTTATTAGGTACATGTTCAAATGTGTTTATTGAGATGGTAAATTCATCACTAATATGACTATGAAGTATTTTAGTATCAAACACTGTTGACAACTCCAAAATTTCCTGTCTTCTCAAAATTCTATTCTCTTGGCTTTTTATTTAATGCTTTATTTACCTAATTTCTTTCCTTTATCTTTAATCAGTCCCCTTGCTTTTAAAATAGACAATCTTTATCATAATGTTTCCTTCTTTCTGCCCTTAAATGTGTATGATTCCCCAAAGCTCTGTTCTTTCTGGTTTTCAGTTGCTCTCATGATAACAGAGCAGGAAGGTTATAGGAGAACCAAAGGGACACTCAAGGAACATAACATGTAACAGGGAAGCAGAAAATTGGATTTATATGTAAAATGTCTTATAAGACAAGAAAGATAGTCAACCTCTAAGAGAATTTTAAACAGTAAAAAAGTAACATGATCAGGGGCACATTTTTAATTCAGAATAATACTTGTGAAAGCTTCAAACATTATTTAAGTATAAAAAGTCTATTTTGTTCTTCATTGTGAAGCCAATTTCCTAGAGACAACCACCAGTAGTACTTCTGAGATAACCATTCTGGCCCTCTTCTCGGTGTATATAATTATGTATGCACAGACGTGTTTTTTTTTAAAAGAATGGTATAAAACTCAGCAATTTGGAGGCATCACTATATCTTTAATGTGGATGGCAGATTGGAGTGATGCAAGGGTAGAAGCAGGGACCATCTATAAGCCAGAGCACTGGTTTTCTCTAGATTCCTACTCTTCTGTTGGCTGTATCTCAGAATTTTCAGATTTTGGAACTATGAGAAGTAAGTTTCTAATTTTAAAAAACTGTAAGAGATGGCAGGGGCTTGATTTGGACTAGAGTAGTGGTAGTAGATATGGGCAAAGCTACTGGGTTGGGGATATGCCTAGATGGCAGAGTCAATAGGACTTTCTGGGAAACTTGAAGAGGATTGTGAGGGGGGAAAAGAAGACTGGAGGATGAACAGTTTTAGATTAGGCAGCTGGTTAAATTCTCCAAGATGGAGAAACATGAAAGGGTAGCAGATTTGTTGGAATGAAAGGAGATATAAGTTAAATTGGATATATTCCATTTGGGATACTTACAGTACAGACATATAGTATATGAGTCAGGAAAGCAGAAATCTGTACTAGTATCACCTAGTTAGTATCCAAATGATAAATATAGTATTATGTTGGTTATCTTGCCTTGAGGAAAAAAATTGATGAAAAGGTGGCCACTGTTTAGTCCCAATGAATCCTAACGCTTAAGGGACAGAAAGAAGGATAGGAGCCCATGAGGGAGGATCTTCCAGAGGAGTTTGTAGATGTGATGCCAGAGACCAAGAGAAGAGAATTTTGAGAAGAGAGTAGTCAACAGTGTCATGCTGCAGAAAGTAAGAGAAGAACTAAAAAGTCCACTGGATTTGGCAACGGGGCCATTGGCCAATTGATGAGAACTGTTTTTGTGATATGGGAGTAGAAACCCAATTTCTATCCCATATGCCCCATATCTAAAAAGTTACTGAATCTTGTCAGTTCCTTTGTTATTGTCTTTCCCTTTCTCAGTAGCACTTCTTTCCATTTTTTTTAGTACTAGACCGTATACATAGTCTTCAAATTAATAGCAGTTTGAGCACCTACTCTCTCGTAGACTCTGTTGGAAATACAAAGACATGTAAGATATGATTCCTTTTCCAAGGAGGGGGAAGTAAAGGGGAAAAGGGAAGTAGTTAGAGCATCTACTATGTGCCAGGCACTTTATGTATATAGCTCTTTGAATCCTCATATCAGTCCTGTGAGTTCAATACTATGTTCCTTCCTTCTTTTTCACAGAAGTCGAAGCTAATTCTAAAAGCTTTGATGACTTGGACAAAGTCAGACAGAGGTAGAACTGTCATATAAACTACATTCTGTTTGACTTTAAAATCTGTATGATTTACTTTATCATGGACAGTTTGTATCTATACATTATGAGAAGACAAAATTGTACAAATGTTGATAGCAGTTTAGGTAACAACTTGGGGATAGACACAGGAAATATTACAATGTAATTGAGTTAACTAGCACATAAATTATATAGAACAAAATAGCTAGACTTTGAGAAATATTCATGGTAAAATCTTAAATTATTCCTTCTTGAGGTTTTTAGTGCCTGGCAGAGAGTAGTTGCTTACTAAATGTTTGAATGAGTTTATGCAAAGAGATAATGGTAAATGGGATTTTAGTCAGGCAAGAAGGACTTTTGGAGGAGGTGGGAATAAAATAGTCTGGGTTTTACGATTACCTTTGAAAGGAAGAAGGGGTAGTGCTTTGCAGCAAAGAGTGGAAAAGGCAATGGATTGCGGGAGGGAACAATTAAACAGAGGTCGCAAACAGGAAGCCTTTGTGCTGGATAAGTCCTATAGATGTGCTTTCTTTGGCTTGCACATTGTTTTAGAAAAATTGGAAGTAGTAATCTCTTGTAAAAGTTTTCATAAAATCCAAAATCCAAGCTACTACTTAAAATGTTAAAGATCTAGTAAACCTGAACCAATAATTTTTCATGGCAATTGAACAAGATTTCAGTAACTATCAACCTATGTGAGCCATAGTAGATGTTTACCCTGATATTTAGCCAGCTTTAATGGAATAGGTTTGCTCACATGGCCTGATTTAGCAAGTTTGCGACCCCTGAGGGTAAAATATGTTGGGGGATGGGGAGTTCATTGGGTTGGGAGGACTATAAATAAAACATATTGGATTGAAGTGAAAGGACCTGTTAATATAAATTGCTAGGGATTATCAAGGTAGATTGGAAGCTAAAGTGTGAAGGACCTTGAGTATACCCTCGTTAAACATGGAGGAGCCATTGAAAGTGTTTTGAATGGGGAGTGATATGTTCAAAGTAGTGTTAAGAAGATGAACCTTCCAGTAGCCTAATGGATAATGTAAAGTAAGTAAGGCTTTCTTGTAGTATAGGCATGAGGTGGTAAGGGCCCTCCATCATGTTGGGTGGTAGATTATAAAATAAAGAATGGAATTAAGAGATACTAAAAAGAACTCAAAAGAGAATTGAACATGCTCAGGTGAGTTCAAAAATAGAAGAACCAATAGAGTCACTAACTGAAGAGGAAGTCAGTACGGGAGTTAGTTTGTTTTTGTTTTGTTTGTTTTGTGTTTGCTTTCTGTCTATAATTTCTGTAGGGAAGCTGGTAAAAGAAGGTGGGGTTGGGAAGATCTGTTAAATGGCATATATAACTGTCTTGCGTGTTAACACTTAACATTAATGTAATTGGAGATTGTTTCTGCTTTGGATACTAAACTACTGAAATTTAAAAATGACTGACATAAGCCAATTCCTTAGCTTAGGGTAATATAGGTGCCTACCTTGCCACTAAACCACATAACTAAGCTGAAAATCACCTTCTTGTTATGGCTTTGAGCATTTCACTCCACTTTGGTCCTTCTAAACACTGTGGGCTAGTGTTTTTCTTAATGTACTACAAATGCTAGATTTGTAACATTTATCTTCCAGTTGATGTAGAACATTCTCATGTTCGATTTCTGGGAAACCTGGTTTTGAACCTGTGGGATTGTGGTGGGTAAGTACCATGTGCCTACTTGTTTGTGAAGCTGTTGGCAGTAACGATGTCATTTAGTATAATCAGCATAGCAAATAACACCTAGAATAACATTTGCATTGATACATTCCCTAAAAATATTTCTGAATCATCAGTTGATTAATAAAGATCTGTGTTTTGTACACCTTTGAAAATGCCCTCTACATAAGACAATAGTTAAGTAGTTCCAATATAAGCTCCATCTAAGTATGTATACCATGGGACCCCTCTTTTGCAGTGGCATGAATTAAACCTGTCTCAGGTTGACTGACATCAGTATTGAGTTCTTAGCTATTATTTATTGTACTAGACTGGTCATAGTCATTTTAGTAATTCTACACAGTCTTATCACTGTAGATTGGATTCTGAGCATATATTATCTGTTGGAAGAGTAACAAAGCCCTTCCTTTCATAATCAGGACAATCATCGAAAATCCCAGTACAAATGTACACTTATTATGCCTCTGAGCTGATGTTGTTGCCTGCTTTAAGGTCATATACATCTCTGTGCTGAAGCAACAGTGTGTAATGCACAGTGATTAAGAACATAGGCTCTTTGGGGTATGTTAATCGAACTCTGTGCTGTAGCTTCACCTGTACAGAAGAGCAAAATAACTAACTCATAGGTTTATTATGCTAATTAAGCAGGTTAAAATATATAAAATATATAAAATATACATTGTAGTATCTGACAAAATAATATTATTGTCTGCTGGGTATTTCCCAGCTCCAAACATGCAAAAGATGCTCAGTAAGTATTTTGACAGAATAATGTAAGAACTAAAACCTCTTAAGACAGTAACTCTTAGCTAGGTAGTGGTGTAGGCAGAGGCAGGCAGATCTCTATGAGTTTGAGGCCAGTCTGGTCTACAGAGTTAGTTCCAGGACAGCCAGGGTTGTTATACAGAAAAACCCTATCTCAAAAAAAAAAAAAAAGTTAACTCTTTTCTTGCTAGCAGCTGGATTAACACCTTAGAATATAAATCTCCCTTCATTGTAATTGCTCCCAATTCTCTAATCTTCAACAACAGACTTACCCAAGTTCCTTGGGTTTAGGTACTAAAATTAGAAATTCAGTTTTGTAGATCAAGTATCTGTAATTTAGGGAAATTATGATTCTAACAATGTTACACAGCTATAATTAGCAAGGTGCAGGATTAGAAATTTGAAATTTGTAAACACCACCCTATATACACCACTAAATGACACTACTGTTTTATTGCTGTCCAGCTTTTGAGATCTTTCTTGAAAGTGACATCCAACCTAGGAGCAGAGAATAACATTCTGCTGAAAAGTCATCATTGGAGTCATTTTCATATAATTTAGAATATTTGACTGTGAAGTTTTTCAGCAAATGTTCATTAAGCATTAACACTCTGCTTTTAAAAGCTTTGAAACAGTGAGAAATAATATCGGGGATGATCCTTGTCTGGTTGTATAGGGAATTGAACACCATTAATTAAAAACTCATCCAAATAAGTATAGTATTGCACTTATGTAAGTGTTTTAAATGAGAGGGATATGTTGGTAAAGAGCCTACAGTGAGTGAGGTGACTCAAGATAGGATGGTTTCGATGAGGACGTATGAATTGGATTGAAATCTAAAGGAAGAATTACATGAAGAAGTAGATGAGTAGCATGTGAAAGAGTGATCGGTATGTGTAAAAGACTCATGAGTTGAGCCATCAGCCACTCAAAGAATGAACAGAAGGTAAGTGTGTTTAAATTGAATGGAAAGAAGCCAGACATGAATTTGAGGCCAGCCTGTTCTATATAATGAATTCCAGTCCAGCCAGCGATACATAGAGAGACCAAGTCTCAAAAACAGCAACAACAAAACAAAAACATTTTACAGGATTGCAAGTTATGACTCTGAAGTAGAGTAAGGTAGAGCTCAACATGTTTAGCTGTTACTTGCTCTTTGAATCAAAGTTTAAGATTATCTTTTGATCAAGCTAAAATATTTCAAGCAGGAGTGATTGAACAGAGGATCTGTTTACTATCTAGATTTTCTTTCCTACCAGACAAGACACCTTCATGGAAAATTATTTCACTAGCCAGCGTGACAACATCTTTCGAAATGTTGAGGTTCTGATTTATGTCTTTGATGTGGAGAGCCGCGAACTTGAGAAGGACATGCACTACTATCAGTCATGTCTTGAGGCCATTCTGCAGAATTCTCCAGAAGCCAAAATCTTTTGCTTGGTACACAAAATGGATTTGGTACAGGAGGATCAACGAGACTTGGTAAGAAACTGAAAAGGTGCTGTACCAAACGGTTGTTAGCATGCTTTGTTGACTTCCTTTATAAAAGAGTAGGTAACCTTTATCATTTAAATAAATAGTTTTCTGCCCCTATTTATTGTCGAAGCTAAAAGACCCACCATGGGTAATATGAGGAGAGGTGTCTGCTGTCATTGGACTAATTTAGGAAACTGCTATGCACCAGTTCAAGTGCCTGCCTCACTGTGTCAGGCACTACTCACAGCCCCTCACAATTGCCCTGGCATAAATGAATTTGTATGCATGAGTATAACTCAAAGATGAGCAAGGATGGTGGAGTAGGAAATACCAACCTTCATCTCAACAAAAACACATAAAACTAGTGACCTGTAATTCAGAGAGGACTCAATCTGGGCCTGGTAAGACATAGACACAGTCCACCTTCAGTTTGCTCAGTGTAAACTAAGCACATTAGATAATAAGGAATAAGATAAAAAAGAAAATCCTCTACATCATAGAGAAGAACTAAGAAAAGCAGTTTTAGATTATACTAGTTGTGTAGAAGAATATAGTTTGTTCTTGGCTTGGAGGATGTCTTAAGGATTGCCTCATGCTGAAGAATTTTTTGATAATAGCTCTAGTAAGGAAACAATGTTATATAACCCACAGAGGGGGTCAGATCTCCTGGAGCTGGATGCCACCTGATATGTGTGCTGGGAACCATGAACTGACCTTGAGCCCTCTGCAGGAGCAACAAATGCTCTTCACTGCTGAATCATCTTTCTAGCTCCTTATTTGGTTATTTTAAAAATGATTTCAAGAGCTGGGGATGTAACTTAGTGGATGTAACTTGATACCTTGAATCAAATCCCCAGTACACCACATTTTATTATTATTATTTTTTTAATTTAAATTAGAAACAAGCTTGTTTTCCATATCAATCCCAGTTCCCTCTCCCTCCCCTCCTCTGGCCCCCACTGATCCCCCATCCCATCCCCTTTCTGCTCCCCAGGGAACGTGAGGCCTTCCATGGGGGAATCACCAATGTCTGTCATATCATTTGGAGCAGGGCCTAGACCCTGCCCCCATTTGTCGAGGCTGAGAGAGTATCCCTCTATGTGGAGTGGACTCCCAGAGTCCATTTGAGTACACCACATTTTTCAAAATTATTTTTAGTCAAACTTGCATTAAAAATCCAGAACATTCCAACAGATGAGCTCCTTTTCAATGTTTTAATCATTTGCAATTTCTCTTACTGTTTTTAAATGCTTATATAAATATTCTCAAATATATATTAATAGTCTTTAAGAGATTCTTAATTGAGAAAATCATTAATTTCATTAAATATTAGACTGAAAAGATTAAAATAAAATAAAATTACTATAAGTGCTTCTCAAAATAATAATTTTAGCTAATATAAATATTTGTATGTTTATGTATGTTTGAGTTTTCCAGGGAAACAGACCCAATCAGATGTGTTTGTGTATAGAAAAACAAAGACACACAGGAATGGGAGGATATTTCATTTGAGGGATTAGCTCAACTCATTCTGGAAGCCTTCTCTGGAAGTAATCTGAAAGCTGGAGAGCAGGGAAGATAGGCTAGCAACCTGAAAGTGAGAGTATGAATATAGGAGAGGAAGAAGTAAAAGTACCCTTAGTTTTAGATGATGTGTGTTTCTGTACATAAAAGACCCTAAAAACTCCACCAGAAAACTCTTAAGCTGTAAGTACATTCAGCAAAGTAGTAGGATACAAAATTAACGAATAAATCAGTAGCCTTCTTATACACAAAGGGGAAATTTGATTCCTATACCAATAGAAGAGTTGGTATTTTAACTACATCTGGTCCAGTAGTTGTACTTGCAGTCAGAAACTTCTTAAGCATATGATAAGCACTTTCCAAGAGCCATGTCTTCTATAGAAACTGAATAGGCAAACTGAATGCAATTGTATCAGCACCTTCCCTTAAGTTGACCCAACCTCCGTTTTCATTTGAGGGTTTCTGGATTTATAAAGTGACACAAATCTGGATGCCAGTTGAGAAGCTATGACATTTTACAATTTGTGCTAAATTTTTGATCATTTCACCTAAATTATTTCATTTATATAGATCAAATAAGAATGTAGTAGATACCCTTTCTAGATCATTTATAGGAGCACTATGATCAACTAGCCAAAACTATAGGTTTCTATGAGTTGGTACTTTGGCTATTCTGTCCAATCAAATAAGGGTACTCTCCTTGTATTTGATGATAAAGTGTTTCCACATTGCTCTTGCTACTGTTGCATCTACTTCCCCTTTGTACGTAGGTTTCCCAATTAAGTACTAGCAATTAACACTGTAAATTTTGGCCTACAGAGAAAAGTTATCAGAGAACTGGGGAAGGAAGCTGGGATTCCTCTTACAAATTTGTTTCTTTGTCATTGTGTTCTAGAACCTCCCACTATTGGTGAATAGGTGATAAATGACAAACCTTGAACATTGTGAACTCCCTGAGCTGTTAGATTCCTTGTGTGTAGTATATCAGTACAAGTCTGGCATTTTAACCTTAGTATAGGTTATGTGTGTGTGTGTATAACTACTAAAGGAAAAGACTATATCAATTTAAGAAGGCAGGGGTATAAGGGAGGGGACTTGGGAGGGGCTAAAGTAAGGAAAGGGAAATATAATGTAATTCATTTTAATTTAAAATGTAATTTAGGGGCTGGAGATATGGCTCAATAATTAAGAACTACTCTGCCAGAAGACCTAGGTTCAGTTCCCAGCACCCACATGGCAGCTCACAACTGTCTGTAACTCTTGAATCCAACACCCTTACACAGACATATATGCAGGCAAAATACCATTACAAATAAAATAAAAATAAATTATTAAAATGTAATTTAAAAATTAAAAAGAATTAGATATCACTGTATGTACACACATTCTAGCAATCCACTCACTCAGGGAAACATACCTGAGGATACATGTTTTATATAGCTATTTTCTCTGTGTGTATGGGGATGTATCCATAGGGAAAAAAAACCCTAGCTAGCTAGAGCTCAGTTGTTTGTGTGGGTTATATGTTTGTTGCAAATTAAGTATACTACACATATAAATATATTAGTTTGCATATATGTATTAATATGTTATTAAGGGGTATTTCTATAATGGTAGAGAACTAAAACATGTTTTGATTTGCAAAATTTTAATATAGGTATTGCCATATTAAAATGACCTAGATTTGGTAGATTGGAGTGTACATATATTTTAAGACACCTTTGTATGATAAATTTTATTTTCTCCCAGTGCTCTCTATGAATATTTAGCAAAAGCAGGATAAGCCTGAAGAAATCTAATAGCCAGTAACATGTTTATCATCTTGTTTGAGAAATAATACTCAAGGTTCTTATGAATACAGAGTAAGAGGTCCTTGTCAACATATGATAAAATAATTATACCTCAGATTTTGCAGTGAAGAAGAGCTGTTACATGCTGATCCACTTGTTGGATTTTTTAATTCAGATTTTTAAAGAACGAGAAGAAGACTTAAGGCGTTTATCTCGTCCATTAGAATGTTCTTGTTTCCGAACATCTATCTGGGATGAAACTCTGTATAAGGTGTGTATGTTTCCTCAATTTCCTACTTTAAGAGCATGAATAAAAGTTAGAAGGATGTTAACAAAACTAAAATATTTAAAACTATTTCATAGTCATCTAGATGTTTTGTACTAAAAAGAAAATAATCTTTAACAAACTGTTCAAAGAACATCATACTTAACATCAAAAGAGTTTGTTTGATTTTAATCTTAGATTGGGTTGACATTGTCACCCAGTTTGCCAGTTTGGATATGATTAATCTGCTACTGTTCTTTGTCATAGCAAGTGTTGCTTAATATCCATCATCCATTTTGGCCCATTGTGGTCCCAGTGATTATTGCAGTGGTTGAAATTACATAGGCTCCTGCTTCTTCTATTTTTCTTGCTTATTAGTGGTTTAAAGATTAACTACTTCTGTGTCCTCATGTGATCAGACCTTTCCTTTGGTATACAATGACAAGTATGATTCTGGGTGGCAAAGGATCCTTCTCTGTCACTGGTAGGCAGAGCTTCAGTTTCGACTCATCTGACACGTGTCTACAACCAGATGCACAGAAACCTGACTTACCAAGGAGAAAAACCATTGGACTTTTAAAAACAGCAATTGATTTTTTTAAACTAATTCATTTCCCCCAGTATTATGTTGACCCAGGCTCACTCTGATAACAAACATTTTGAGATACCTGTCTAGGAAGTACTGTTCTAGATTAATATGGGCCGAATTTCTCTCAAAGCCTTATTCCCAAAGAACAGGTAACCGTGAATAAGGATGGGCATGACGCACTGATAAGAACCAGCTGTGGTGTAAAGGATGGCAATACATAACATGACCAAAGACAATTGACTAATCACAACACTGCTGTGAGTGACAATGTCTCTGCTATGGTTAGCTTTCGTGCCTTCTCCAAGGTAAATTCAGCAGTGACATTAACACTGACCTGAGAACTTGGAACACTATGCCTAAGTAGTAAAACGAATTCGAGCAGAGACATGTCACCACTATCACTTACATCAATGTTGCATAGAACTGACTAAAATTTGTATATTGTTTTATTCCAACAAGCATTCATGGTCCATCTATTGGATGTTGTCACATATGCAAATGGCTAAGATAGGTTTCTCACGTCTAGTAGGAGACAGAAGAACAAAGTACACCTAACCAGAAAATTCAGAGTGACAGTAAAGGAAATATGAATACAACCACCTTAATAGACTACTAGGAGGGTGAAACTAATCTCATCTGCATGCATTAGTCATACTCTTGGATGAAGTCAGTTTATAATGACATTTTAAATCTTTGAAGGAAGGGGCTACTTGTCATTGTGGCTCTGATATTTTCACAAAATTGACTCTTGGATGTATGCTAAATATAGCACTATTTCTTTTTTTTTTGGTTTTTTGAGACAGGGTTGCACTATTTCTTTTTGAAGCTGTATATAACATTGGACTTCAGCTGGGCGGTGGTGCACGCCTTTAATCCCAACACTCGGGAGGCAGAGGCAGGAGGATCTCTGTAGACCAGCCTGGTCTACAGAGTGAGTTCCCGGACAGCCTCCAAAGCCAGAGAAAAAACCCTGTCTTAAAAACAAAACAAAAAAAGAACGCTGGATTTCAGTATTTGTTGCATGTCTAGATTAGGTTTTTAGCACATTAGATCTTATTTTGCAACTTTTCTCCTAAAGCTACACGATAGAATTAAATTACCTGTTTACTCATGGAAAGAAATTTCTCAAATATTTGAACTCTAAAAATTCAACTCAAGGATACAAATCAAGTATTAGGTTAATTTTCTTGTTTCATTTTTATTATATTTAACATCTATATTTGTTTTGGACTCTGTTATCAATGTATTTTACTGTCTGTGTCTTGTAGGGTACTAGCTCATTTCAAAGGCCTGGAACTGGCTACCTATTAGTAATCATTGATTGTGCTTCTGTAATTTTAGGCTTGGTCCAGCATTGTTTATCAGCTGATTCCCAATGTTCAACAACTGGAAATGAACCTACGGAATTTTGCTGAAATTATTGAAGCTGATGAAGTGCTTCTGTTTGAGAGAGCTACCTTTCTGGTAAGGACATTCTGCTCTACAATTGTATTTCATACTGTCTTCTTCTATTCAGTATATTACTGCTTATAGGAAGATCAACCCATTTACATCAGTGGATATGGTCTTATTTATAAAGCAATATTATCTGCAAGTGGTATGGAAAAAGTCCTTTGGTAACTAACCTTTTAATTATTAGTAAAATTTAGATTTTTGCAGGTATGCCTTGTTAGAGAATTCTGATTAGTTCTAGTAATATAATTGAATACAATAACGGAATCTTATTACCTACTGAGCTTTATTAAAAAATGTAGACCATTTTTCTCTTAAGAAAACTCTTCCTCCACCCATGTATCAAAAAGATTGATACAACATGAAAACTTCAAACATACAAAAGTCTTGGAGAAGTAAAAGACATGTTGGTAGTTCTAGTTTTCTTATAAATAGAATTTAGCAACAATATCAGAGTCTGCTGTATAGCCATGAGTTAGTGATGCAAAAAGCTGTAGTATACATACATATTTTTCTTCAGTTTCTTTGAAGTTTTATTTTTATTGCTATGTATTAATTTTACAAAAAAATGAGATGTAATGTAATATTTTATCAGATATATATGATATGTAATGATCAAATTCAGCTTTCTAGGCTCAGATGTAGAAGACTTGTTTAGCATTTGAAAGGCCCTGGATTCAACATCCAGCACTGAGAAAGAAGAAATTCAACTCCCCTTTATTTGTCATCCTCAAACACTGATAATCACTGTTCTTCATTCATGTCAACATTTTTTGCATTTCTTTTTATTAATTTATTTTTTACATTCCAATCACATTTCCCCATCCTTTCCACCGACTCCCTCCACTTCTGCTCCTCCTCCCATCTGCTCCTCGGAGAGGGTAAGGGCTCCCCTAGGAAGTCTACTCAGTCTGTCCCATCATCTAGTTGAGGCAGGACAAAGGCACCTCTCCACCTCCACACCCCTATGTCTAGGCTGGGCAAGGTATCTCTCCATACAGAATGGGCTCCACTAAGTCAGTTTGTGCATTAGTGTTAGGTCTTGGACCCACTGCCAGTGGCCTCATATATTGTCTCAGTCACACCATTGTCACCTATATTAAGGGAGTCTAGTTCGGTCTTATGCAGGTTCCCCATTTGTCAGACCTGAGTCAGTGATCTCTCACTAACTCAGATCAGCTGATTCTGTGGGTTTCCCCATCATGGTCTTGACTCCTTTGTTCATATTATCATTCCTCCCTCGCTTTGATTGTATTCCAGGAGCTTGGCCCATTGGTTAGTTGTAGATTTCTGCATCTGCTTCCATCTGTTTCTGTAAGAGGGTTCAAGCTTCTCTGGGGGTATGGATTATAGGCTGGGTATCTTTTGCTTTATGTCTGGTATCCACTTATGAGTGATTACATACTATATTTGTCTTTCTGGTTTGGGTTACCTAACTCAGGATGTTTGTTTCTACTTCTGACCATTTGCCTGCAAATTTTAGGATGTCATTGTTTCTTACCACTGAGTAGTACTCCATTGTGTAAATGTACCACATTTTCTTAATCCATTCTTCAGTTGAGGGTCATCTAGATTGTTTCCAAGATCTGGCTATTATGAATAATGTTGCTGAGAATATAGTTGAGAAAATGTCCTTGTGGTGTCAATGTGCTTCCTTTTGGTGTATGCCCGAAAGTGTGTTATTGCAGGATCCTGAGGTAGGTTGATCCCTAATTTTCTGAGAAGTTGCCATACTGATTTCCACAGCAGCTATGCAAGTTTGCACTCCCACCAGCAATGGAGGAGTGTCCCCCTTTCTCCACATCCTCTCCAGCATAAACTGTCATTAGTGTTTTTGATTTAAGCCACTCTGACAGGTGCAAAATGGAATCTCAGAGTTGTTTTGATTTGCATTTCCCTAATTACTAAGGATGATGAACATTTCTTTAAGAGTTTTAATACCATTTGAGATTCTTCTGTTGAGAATTTTCTGTTTAGATCTATACCCCATTTTTTTAAATTGGATTATTTGGTAGTTTGATGTCTAGTTTCTTGAGTTCTTTTTACATATTCTAGATAAGCCCTCTGTCACATGTGGGGTTGGTGAAGATCTTTGCCCAGTCTGTGGGCTGCCATTTTGTCTTGTTGACAATGTCCTTTGCCTTACAGAAGCTTCTCAGTTTCAGGACGTTCCATTTATTGTCAAATTCAGTGTCTGTGCTACTGGTGTTATGTTCAGGAAGCTGTTTCCTGCAGCAGTTCGTTCAAGGGTACTTCCCACTTTCTCTTCTAAGAGGTTCAGTGTGGCTGGGTTTATGTTGATGTCTTTGATCCATTTGGACTTGAGTTTTGTGCATGGCGATAGAAATGGATCTATCCGCAATCTTCTACATGCCAGCATCCAGTTATGCCAGCAATATTTGTGGACGATGCTTTCCCTTTTCCAAGTACAATTTTAGCTTCTTTGTCAGAAGTCAGGTGTTCATAGGCATGTGGATTAATATCAGGGTCTTCAATTCGATTCCGTTGGTCTACCTGTCTTTTTTGTGGAAATACCATGCTGTTTACATTACTACAGCTCTGTAGCTTGAGGTCAGAGATGGTGATGCCCCTGGAAATTTCTTTATTGTATAGGGTTATTTTGGCTATCTATCCTGGGTCTTTTGTTTTTCCATATAAAATTGAGTATTGCTCTTTCAAGATCTGTGAAGAATTGTGCTGGGATTTTGATAGGAAATGCATTGAATCTGTAGAATACTTTTGGTAGGATTGCCATTTTTACTATGTTGATCCTACCTATCCGAGAGCATGGGAGATCTTTTCATTTTCTGATAACTTCTTTTAATTTCTTTCTTTAAAGACTTGAAGCTCTTGTCATACAGGTGTTTTGATTGTTTGGTTAGAGTTACCCCAAGATATTTTAAGTTATTTGTGGCTATTGTGAAGGGTTATGTTTCTCTGATTTCCTTCTCAGCCTGTTTGTCATCTGTGTGTAGGAGGGCTACTGATTTTTTGAGTTAATCTTGTATCCTGCTATATTACTGAAGTTGTTTATCAGTTGTAAGAGTTCTCTGGTAGAAATTTTGGGGTCACTTATATATACTATCATATCATCAGCAAAGAGTGACAGTTTGATTTCTTTTCTAATTTGTATCGTTTTGACCTCCTTTTGTTGTCTTATTGCTTTAGCTAGAACTTAAAGTACTATGTTGAAGAGATATGGAGAGAGTGGACAGCCTTGTCTTGTTCCTGATTTCAGTAGGATTGTTTTGAGTTTCTCTCCATTTAGTTTCATGTTGGCTATTGGGTTACTGTATATTACCTTTATTATGTTTAGATATGTTCCTTGTATCCCTATTCTCTCCAAGATGTTTATCATGAAGAGGTGTTGAATTTGACGCAGTGTTTTTTTCTTTAAGTGGATTACATTGATGGATTTTCATATATACATACTTTTTTTTTTTGGTTTTTCGACACAAGGTTTCTCTGTGACTTTGGATGCTGTCCTGGAACTAGCTCTTGTAGAACAGGCTGACCTCGAACTCACAGAGATCCACCTGCCTCTGCCTCCCGAGTGCTGGGATAAAAGGCGTGCACCACCAATGCCCGGCTATACATACATATTTAAAAATTTTTTTTGTGTGTATGTGTGTCGCCACTTGTGTGTTGGGTGTGGAGGCCAGAAGAAGGTATTCAGATTTCTTGGAGCTGGAGTTACAGGCAGTTATGAGCTGCCTGGCTTCGGTGTGTGGAACCAAACTTGTGTCCTCTGAAAACACCAAGAAGCATACCTAATCATTGAGCCATCTCTCCAGACAAGTGAATACATTTGAAATACGGTAGTAATAGCTTCTGGGCGGTGGTGGCACATACCTTTAGGCCCAGTTCTGAGGAAGCAAAGACAGTAGAGTAGATCTCTGAGTTCCAGGTCAGCTTGGTCTACAGAGTGAGTTCCAGGACAGCCAGGACTATATAGAGATACCTTGTCTCAAAAAAACAAAAAGAAAATAGTAGTAATTAAAGCTAATTTGTCAGAACACATTGCATAAATAATTGGTAATAGGCTCATTTAATGTCCCTCCAAAAGCAGCTCCCAGTGAAGAATTTAGTGTCTGACCTTTACCAGGGCTAGGTGAGTTTAGACAAATATCTTAGTTATTCTGTGCTTGTTTCCTCTTCTGCAAAACCTGAGCATTAATGCTTATATCATAGATTTATTGTGTGTATTAAAATGGGACAGCATAATGGTAAGCAGCCAGCATAAACCTTGACATGTAATTAGCAACAGAGGATAGAGAATATATGTGTATAGTTCTATCTTTGTTATAAGAATTATATTTTAAATATTTAACATCATGTCAGAATTTCCATGTGAATTTTCTTCTGGTAAATGATGTGGATTTCTTCTGCTAGAAATTTGTGACTTATTTTCAGCCTTTAGGGTACTTGTATTTTTATTAAAATTAGAAGGTGCTATTAAAGTATTTTTACCTGGTTTGTCCTAAGTACATTCATTTATGATAGTCAGTACTTGGGATCATCTAGTAAAGGTTTTTAGTATGTTTCCCACAGCTAGTTTGTGATAGACATCTTTAAAATTATATGTTAGGTACTACCCAAGAGCAGCTAAATATTTTTATTTATTTGTACAATTTTAAGTCAAAGACCATCTTGTGAAATGTTAATAAGATAAAAGATAAAATTTAGTGATTAAGGAAATTGAAAATATGCTACTTGACTAGGAAAGGGTATGCTTTAATAAACTCTTAACTTGAAAACCTACCAAGCACCATGCCTTAGCAATGTAAGTACTCCAAAAATAATTTGTTCTTTATTTTTGTAATCTGGGACTTTATCTTTGTAAACTGGGACTTCTGGATCACTATTGCTGTTCAGTATCACAAGAGAGTATTGCACAATATATTCCAATATATGTGCAGTATGTTTCAAGCCTGGGAAAATTCAAAATATGATTTCTACTGAATGTGTATTGCTTACTCACCGATGTCAGTCAAGTCATTTCTAGAGATTACAAAAGTCATCTAATAGAGTTATAATGAAATGATCCAGGGTCTAAATGAATATGGAAATTGTTGGCAAGGATATGGGACAGAGGACAAATAGCATCCTATTTTGAAATTAAGATGACCAAAGGCCTTCATAGATGTGTGTTTTAATTAGTAACAGTGATAGGAGTATTTTCATGGATTCAAAGGATAACATCCCTCTTTACAGGTCATTTCTCATTATCAGTGTAAAGAACAGCGTGATGCCCACAGATTTGAGAAAATCAGCAACATTATTAAGCAGTTCAAGCTGAGCTGTAGGTAAGAGACTTTCTAAATGTTAACTGTTAATTTCTGGATAATATTACCATTTTTGAAATTTAAATAAACTAGTTGGCTGTACACTTATGCTTGCAATAGTTTAGTCATATAGAAAGTTGAGTTCTAAGAGAACCTAGAAACTGACTGAAGTGAGTGCTGGGATTGAAAGCTTGCACCACCATTGCCCAACTAAATTCAGGAATTTAAAAAAAAAATCACTCAATTTCATGGATTATGTGAGCCAAACTGGTAAAGTGGTGGTGGTACACACCTTTAATCCCAGTGCTCAAGAGGCAGAGGCAGGTAGATCTGAGTTTGAGTCGAGCATGGTCTACAAAGTGAGTTCCAGGATAGCTAGAGCTATACAGAGAAACCCTATCTCAAAAAAAAAAATAAAACAAAGCAAAAAAGAGCGAGTTCCAGGACAGCCTCCAAAGCCACAGAGAAACCCTGTCTTGAAAAACTGAAAAAAAAAAGTTAAAAAACTCAAGTATCCTTTTGAGATGTGTGATACCATTTAAGAAATGAAAATAGAATATTCAGAAAGGTTTTGAAAATGAAGGGGGAAATTGTGACCTGGTGAAGGAGAAAAGCCTGGAGGTTTAAAAAGGAAACACTGTTGCTTAGAAGGAAAGAGAGTGTAAGACCATCAGCAACATACAGTAGAACAGCTGAAAAGTGTTGGCATGGGAGGAGGAGTGAGAGATACAGAAAAGAAGCTGAATTGATATCGGAACAACTTGACAGGAATTTACCACAATGCCTCCACTGGGATCATGGGCACTGATAATACCAGGGACAAGCCATCCCATCCTGAGCATGGGTGTCATAGCAACAGTATCTGGACATAGACAAGCTATAGAGACACAACTATGAGCTGGATACATCATGAGCATTGAGACTATCAAGGGATACTAGGATAGAAATTCAACAAGGGTATATGGTGCACGAGCACCAGTGACTAACTTGAAGAATAAATGGAAAGCAATACCATCAGCACTGTTGCACAAGCAACAACATGGTAACACAAAGGAATTATGTATGGATCATTAGCAAATAAACAGCAGGGATCTGGGTTTGAAGACAATATCCTATGACAAAAGTAAATACAAGTCTAGACCTCCTTCCACATTCCCCCAGAGCCTGTGACTCAAAAGCTCCTCATAGACACTGATCGGCAATAATTTAAGAGAAGACAGTGGCTGACAGATGGATTGTTTCAGACTGGCAAACTGAGAAAGTAGTACAACACAGACACCTTGCAACAGGGAAGACATACCCATAAAGGTGTTTAAATTAAAGAGACTAGCAGCTGTCTCTTTATCTACAGAAACAGCTAAAGGAGACAGCCAAAGTGGAGAGGAACCATATTCATTCCAAAGGAAGAAATACTAACATTAGAATAATTGTCTCATTTTAGTTATTTTTATATAATTCTTAATTTACATGCTTATATTTTAATTGTTTAATAGTTTTGTTTTAATTTGTATCTTACAAGAAGAAGCTTTTATAAGTCTTTACTTTTTCTGCACCTAGTCTTTGTTTGCTCATTGTTTCTCATACCTGTAGCCCTGTACTTTGCTGTTCTTATATTCATTCCTTTCACTTTTCCATAAGGTTTCCTCCTTTTCCTTTTTAATTATTAATAACCTTAGCCATAAACAACTAAGAATATATCTCCCCATAGTACCTTAGTCCCTCTGTCTAGAACCTTAGGGACACAGGGTCTTTTCTAGCATATTAGCATCAGGACTTCTGACAAAGCATTGTTTCTGTTACTGGGTTGGCATCACCTGCCAAGTGAAGGCAGCTCACTGTGATGACTCACATAAAATAAAGTAAACCAGTAAGGAAAGAAGCAGGAAAACTGGAAGCTACATCCAGCAGACACACAAAACATAGCAAAACATCACTAGAGAGAGAATGAACCTCTGTGACAGTGGTTCATGTGTACAGATGCCCACAATCTCTCCATACTGGCAACCAAAGGTAGTGAACTACCTGACATGTCAGAAGAAGATGTCAGAATCCTGCTTTTAAAAAAAATAACAGCTCAGATAGAGGATTCAAAAAACAAGATAACTGAAGTAAGGAAATCAATTCAGGGCCTAGATACAAAAATTTTCAAAGTGGATAGAATGCTCAGAAGTGTAGAGGAGAAATGCAAAAACCATGTAGGAAATACTCAGTAAGGAAATTGATATTTTGAAAAAGAACCAAATTGAACTTGAAAATAATAAAAGAATTATCAAAAAACACAGCAGGAAGAATCATTAACACACAAAACCAAGCAGAAAAAAGAATATTAAAAGTAGAGTACAAAATTCATTTAGATGGACAAAATTAGCATGACCAGCCAGGTGGTAGTGGTGCACCCCCATAATCTCAGCAATCTGAAGGCAGAGGAGGCAGATTTCTGTGAGTTCAAGGCCAGCCTGGTCTACAGAACAAGTTCTAGGATCGATAGTACTACACAGAGAAACCTTGTCTCAAAAAACCCAAAGAAAAAAGTTAGCATGGCCAAACTTTGTAAGAATTGTTAGGATATGTTCAAGAACCCAAACAAAAGTATCTGGGAGAAGAGCAAAAATAAAATGTTAGGGCATCGAGTTAGAGAGACAACTCAGTGGTTAAGAGTATTTGTTGCTTTTGCAGAGGACCTGAGTTTAATTCCCAGTGTATTCAATGGAATTGTAACAGAAAATTTCCAGAATCAAGGGAAAGAAATGGACAGCCAGATACGAGGCATTTACAACCCTAAGTAACAATGACCGAAAAAGAGTATCTCCTTGACAAATCAGGAAAAAATACAAAGCAAAGAAACAATATTAAAAGCTGTAAGGAGAAAATCTCACCCCTCTGACAAAGGCAAACATCAGAATAGCATAAATCCCTTATGACTAAGCTTAAAAGCTGAGAAAACGACAGATGATACAAACAACTGACAAACTACTGACAGCTGATAACTAAAATTGCTATGTCCGTGAAAGCTACCTTTTTAAGTTAATGGAAAAATAAGAACATTTCAAGGTAAGTAAAAACTGGGAGTTCATGACTACCAAACCAACACTTTAAAAATATGAGAAAGAATACTACACACAGCAAAAAGACATTCTCAATCATGAGACCACAGGTAAGACTAAATTACATGAGGAAAAAAAATTCAGAAAGGAGTGCTGGAAAGAATCCATAACATTTAACACAATAAAGTAGCCCATAGGAAATAGTAAACCTTAAATGCAAGTGTCCTCAGTTCTTCATTTAACTGCTGCATACAATAAACTCACTTCACTGGAAAAGAAATCTATGGATACATAACTAAAGAATGGGAGTCAACTCTTCAAGCAATTGGAAGCAGAAAGTAAGCTAGCACAGCTATTCTGATGCTTGAGAAAGTATGCTTCAAATGAAAGTTAGTCAGAAGAGAGAAATTGGGATACTACATAGTAATATAAGGAACAACTTACTAAGAATTTATAAGTTGTAAATATATATGCACCAAGTGTTATGGCACCTAATTTCATAAAACAAATACACAACAGCATGAAAACTCAGATGGATCCTGATACTGGTGATTTGAATACTCTTCTTTAGGTAGGTCATCCAAAGTGAAAATTAGCAAAGAAATGTTAGAGCTATACCATACTAAAGACTAGATTAAATGGATTTTGTGGATATCTGCAGAATATTCCATCTGACATCCATGGAATACACATTCTTTTCAGCAGTCCATGGGACAGTCTTTGAATTCGATCACATAAGCTACCAAATAAGCATTAACAAAATAATTAAAATATTTTTTTATTTTGTTAGATTATAGTGGGACTAAAGCTAGAAAGACAACAGAAACACAAAGGAATTATAGAAAAATAGCATGCTTTAATAAACAATGAGTAATAGACTAAATCAAAGAGGAAGTTTAAAAATTCCTAGGATCAAGTGAAATTTATTGTACAATTTACCATAATCTGTGGTAGTTAAAGTAGTTCTTAGAGAAAAGTTTATAAACATTGAATTTTTACATTAAAAATCAGAGACATCTCAAATAACAATGATGTACCTTTAGGGCAAAAAGATGCTTTCTTGTAAGGACTAAACATGGTTGATAAACCAATAGCTAAACTAAACAAAAGAAGAAGAGAAAACATTAAATTAATACAATCAGAGATATAAATTGGATGTTGCAGCATATTCTGATGAAATCCAGGAGATTATTAAGGAACACATTAAATGCTTCTATTCAAAAATAAAACCCTGTCCCAGCACTTGGGAGGTAGAGGCAGGCGGATCTCTGTGAGTTCGAGGCCAGCCTGGTCTCCAGAGCGAGTGCTAGGATAGGCTCCAAAGCTACACAGAGAAACCCTGTCTCAAAAAAACCAAAAAAAAAAATCCTGAAAAATCTGGAAGAAGTGGATAGATTCCTAAATATTTATAAACTCCTTAAATATAAAAGGTATAAATACCTCAGACCCATATCATATAGCTAGATTGAAGTACTAATTAAACATCTCTCTACAGGGCTAGAGAGATGGCTTAGCAGTTAGGAGCACTGGATCTTCTTCCAAAGGTCCTGAGTTCAATTCCCATCAACTACTTGATAGCTCACAACCGTCTGTAATAAGATCTGGTGCCCTCTTCTGGCGTCCAGGGATACGTGCAGGCAGAACACTGTATTCACAATAAATAAATAAATCTTTAAAAAAATCTTCACAGAGCAGAAAGGATATGTGATAGGTAGGGTTTTAATTGGGGGTTGGCAGGGGAGGAGCGGAGGGAGAGGGAACTGGGATTGACATGTAAGACAATCTTGTTTCTATTTCAAATAAAAAAAACTACAGAAAAAAAATCCACAAAGAGGCCTGGAACCAAATGGATTAACTGATAAGTTTCACCAAACATTTAAGAAACAGCTAAATCTAACACTTCCCAACCTGTCCTATAAGACAGAAAGGGAAGGAATATCACCAAACTAATTCTATGAAAAAATTATGCTGTTACCATAAACTGATAAGGACACGCCAAAAATAACCTAGACCAATTTTTCTGGTGAACATAGATGCAAAAACTATCAACAGAGTACTTGAAAAATAAATTATAGAACACACTAAGATTATATACCATGACCAAGTTGCTTTTGTCCCACAGATCAGTTGGCTTAATGTTTGTTTGAGGTATTTTTTGTCTCTATTTTTTGGTTTTTGAGACAGGGTTTCTCTGTGTAGCTTTGGAGCCTATCCTGGCACTCGCTCTGGAGACCAGGCTGGCCTTGAACTCATAGAGATCCACCTGCCTCTGCCTCCCGAGTGCTGGGATTAAAGGCTTGTGCCACCAACGCCCAGCTCAATGTTTGTTAATTAAGAAATGTCATATAGAACATAAATGAACATAGGGACAGAACTCACACAATTATATTAGTAGATGCAGGAAAGGCTTTTGATAAAGTTTAGCAACTTCTCATGATAAAACCTGGAAAAAACTAGAAATAAAAAGAATGTATCCTGCCAGATGGTTATAGTGCACGCCTTTAATCCCAGCACCTGAGAGGCAAAAGCAGATGGATCTCTGTGAGTTTTGAAGCCAGACTGGTCTACAGAGTGAGTCCCAGTACAGCCAGGACTCTTACACAGAAAAACCCTGTCTCAAAAATCAAAAAGAAAAAAAAGGTAGTTCAGTATAATAATGGATATGCATCTCAAACCTATAACCAGCATTATACCAAATGAGGAAAAATTGAAGTATTTCCCCTAAAATCAGGAATTAGAAAAGGGTGCCTACCCTCTACATTGTATTCAGTATAATCCTCAGAACCATAGGCAGAACATGGAAACAAAAGAAAAAAATTAAAGGAATATAGGAAAGAAAGAAATAGAATTATCTCTGTTTGCAAATAACATCTTCAACAGGATAATTCTTTAATCAACATACTCAACAAATTAACAAGATATTAATCAACATTAAAAAGCAGTAGTCATTATATAGACTAAGCAGGTTGGATTTTTATATTTAGTAATATACACACATAAGCAAAGGAGATGTGTAGATCAATAGAATAGTATAGACAATCAAGAAATAAACCTATACTACTACTACAGGCATACTACTACTTTGGCAAAGATGTCAGAAATACACACTAGGAAAAGAAGATGACTGATCCACAATTGGTTCTGGGAAAAAAAAAGCATCTGGATATTCACATGTAGAGGAATGAAACTAAACCCTCATCTCCTGCCCTGCAAAAAATTGATCAAAGATGTTATTCTAAGACCTGAAGCTCTTAAACCAGCTAGATAAAAATGTATGCAAAATACTTTAAGATATAGGCAAGGACTTTCTCTAAACAACTTCAGGTGCTCAAGAAATAATTTCAAGCATTGTCAAGGGGGATTACATGAAATTAAAAAGCTTGTACATAGCAAAGGAAACAAATAGCAAATTGAAAAGATCTTTACAAAAATCTGTCAGATTAGATTATGAATACCTAGAATCTATTAACTCTAAAAGTTAAATAAGTCTTCCAATCAATAAATGGCAAATGAATTAGATAGCAGAAAAAAAGTTTATGGTCAATAATTGTTTGAATAAGTGTTCAACATCCTTAGCCATTAGGGGAAATGCTAGTTAAAACTTCTTCAATATCATATATCAGCCCAGTCAGTCTGGCTTTCTTCCAGAAACAAAGATAACAAATTCTGAAGCACATCAGATCCAGGCATTGGTGGCGCACGCCTTTAATCCCAGCACTCAGGAGGCAGAGGCAGGCGGATCTCTGTGAGTTCAAGGCCAGCCATCAGAAGGACGAATGAGTCCTAGTACACTGCATAAGATGTAAACTTTTACAGACACTATGAAACCAGCATGTAAATTTGACAGAAAACTAAATGTAGAGCTACTATGTGACTCAGCTAAAATACTCCTGGCATATACTTAAAGGACTCTATATATCTATAGAGATATTTGGCCATTCATGTTATTGCTGATCTATTAACAGTATCTTCAAAATAGATTCAACTTTAGGTACCCATCAACAGATTCACGGATAAAGAATTTTTTTTGCATATACAATATGAAATATTCATAATAAGGGAAAGGAAAATTATGACATTTGTAGGAAAATAAATGTTAAATGAAAGGCTACTCAAACAAATACCATGTTTTCTCTCATATGAGGAGTCTGCATTTAAATTTGTATCTCTGTGTGCAGGTCATAGAAATAAGAAATGGGACCGTGAGAGAGTAGGAGTATATCTTAAGTTGGGTTAGAGAGAAGAGCGAAATAAGATGCACGTAACATGATCCATTCACCCTCTAAACATGTTAAGTTCATCAGTACAGTTTCCTTGAAAACTTAAGAAGTGGTGAATTGAGATACAGTACTATAAAATTTTCTAATATAATAAAGAACAACTTATTTTAGTCTTTTGTTTAATCACCATTTTCCTTTCTCCCATAGCAAGCTGGCTGCCTCTTTCCAGAGTATGGAAGTGAGGAACTCTAACTTTGCTGCTTTCATTGACATATTCACATCCAACACTTACGTCATGGTCGTGATGTCTGATCCATCCATTCGTAAGTTTAAACTTGGCTGACATAGTTTCAAAGTCTCATAATTTTTAAGCAAAGGCTGAAGAAGTAGTACTTTATTAGATATTTAAAATTATTTTATAATGAGGGTGGTTGTACAATAATATGAGGTACTTACTCTCATGAATTGTACACTTAAAATGGTAAGCTTGGTCAATCTTAAATACTATACATATATAATGTATAATATATAAAGCTACAGTTGAAGAAATTAGTAGTAGTGGTAGTAGTAATAGTAGTGTTATATAATTTTATTTAATGGGCTTACATTTTAGAGCTGAAAATAATTTTTCTCAGATATTATATTTTTCTTCATGAGAACTTGAGAAAGCCGGTGTCTTAGTCTGTGAAGAGACACCATGACCATATTAACTCTTATAAAGAAAACATTTAATTGAAGTGGTGGCTTCTTCAGTCCATTGTCATCATGAAGGGGAGGAGCATGGCAGTGTGCAGACAGACATGGAGCTGGCTACATCTTGACCAGAAGACAGCAGGAAATTGCCTAACGTACTGGGCTGCATCCTGCGCATAGGAAACCTCAAAGTCCCCCCGCCCCTATGACATATTACTACTCCAACAAAGCTACATCACCTAATAGTGCCATAATCTATGAGCTTATGGGGCCAAATATATTCAAACTACCACATTTCACTCCCTGGCCCTCATAAACCTTTAATAGTATCATAGTGCAAAATGCATTTAGTTCAACTTCAAGAGTCCTCATAGTCTATCACAGTCTCAACAATGTTTAAAAATACAAAATCTCTTCTGAGCTTCATGTCATCTCCTAACTATAATCTCATGTAAAATCAAATAAAAAAGCAGATCACATACTTCGATCACATAATGGTAAAGGATATATCATTCTGAAATATAGGGAAGGGAGCATAATGAGGAGATGCTGGACCAAAGCAAGACCAAAACCAACTTGGGCAAACTCCAAACTCTGCGTCTCCATGTTTGATGTCAAAATGCTCTCCACATCTCCAATTCCATTCAGCTTTGTTGACTGCAACACACTTCTTTTTCTTGGGCTGTTTCCACTTCCTGTTAGTAGCTCTCCTTGGCAGGTATCCCAGGCTACAACTTCACAGCTTCACATAATGGTCTGTACTAGGCCTCCATTTTGGGACATCCCTGACATGTGCCTGGTCTCAGCACCTGTTGTAAGCATGGAGGCAACTTCTATAACTAGTTTCTTTTACCCTTAACTCTAAAGCCAGAACTATGTGGCCAAAACTGCCAAGTTCTGTTGCTTACTGGAGCTGGAACATGGCCTCCTTGTTTAATTACATCTTCAGCTATTTTCCTTTACTGCCTATGCTTGGCTGTCCTTGAACTTGATCTTCAGACCAAGCTGGCCTCAAATTCAGAAATCTGCCAACTTCTGCGTTCCCAGTGCTGGGAATAAAGGAGTGTACCATCACACCTAGCTCTATACTTTTTTTTAAATTCCTTTCCACAAGCTGGGTGGGATCTTTCCCTAAGGTCACCACTCCCTTTAATCTATTTATTTCCTTGAACAGTGGATTTAGCTCCATTCCATTTTTGGTGCCCTTTTTCTCCTAAAATATTTTTCCTTGCCCAGCTTGCTCCTTTCATTATATATCTTCATTAGAGTTACCACTAATATCTACACGACAAAGTCTATACTGGACTGTTTTGAGATTTCTTCTGATAACGGAATTAACACAAAACTTTTTACCTCAGGCAGGCTCTTCAGACAAGGGCAAAAGGCAGCCACCAATATCACAAGAATGATTTCTAGGCAGCATACTAAAATTCTTTTCTGAAACCACCTGAGCTAGCCCCCAACATTTCAAATCATCAGCCCCATTGTCTTCTATGCTCCTACTAGTATGGCCTATTAAGCAGTGCTTAAAGTACCCTACTGCTTTCCTAACCCAAAGTACCAAAGTGCATATTAATCCAAATAAAAACATGGTCTGGTCAAGCCTATCACAATACCCCAGTCTCTGGTACCAACTTCTGTCTTACTTTGGGGTTTCTATTGCTGTGAAGAGACACAATGGCCATGGCAACTCTTACGAAGAAAACATTTAATTGAGGTGGTGGCTTACAGTTTCAGAGGTTCAGTCCATTATCATCATGAAGGGAAGGAGCATGGCAGTATGCAGGCAGACATGGAGCTGGCTACAACTTGACCAGAAGACAGCAGGAAGTCTCCCAATTCACTGGGCAGTATCTCAAACATAGGAAACCTCAAAGCCTGCTGCCACAATGACCCACTTCCTCCAACAAGACCATACCTACTCCAACAAAGCCACACCTCCTAATAGTGCTACTCCCTGAGCTTATGGGGGCCAAATACATTCAAACTACCACAGTAGGTTACTAAATTGAGGATTTTTAAAGAAAAGAGAACCCAGATCTCTGAACTTTTAAAAGACTTGCCATGTAACCTCTAAGTTATTTAAAGCTGAACCATGTCATAGATTACTATGTGTTCTACAGCTGCATATTTCTGTCATGAACATTAAGGGTAATATTTGTTATTTCCATACCATGAAAGCCATATCTGCTACAACCATTAGACTAAAGGTTCTCACAGTACTTCCAGAATATTCCCATGTTTTTAAATTATCTGTCTTCTGGTTTTATCTACTTTAGTTAATATTTAAAGGTGACAAAAGATATTGAGGTTTGTTCTATTAGTCTCAAACCAAAAGACTGAAATTTTATGTTTAGCATATGTGAAAATCTGCTTCAGAAATATCAAACCTTGATAACTTGAGGCTTCCTGCTCCTGTATATTCTCTGGCATACACTGAAGGATTTGGATCTTTTAATTTATTTGCTTTTGCTAGAGAGACATTCCTTTGATGCTCTTCTTACTCTGTTGGGTGTCTCCCCACTCCCACCCTCAGCTTCTGCAGCTACTCTGATCAACATCCGCAATGCCAGGAAACACTTTGAAAAGCTGGAGAGAGTGGATGGACCAAAACAGTGTCTTCTCATGCGCTAAACATTGCCGAATATTGTTTCACACAAAAAATTGAAACACTGTTTCTTTATTGTTGTACTCCTATGTGTAGACTCTAAAATACTGTGATGCTTACCACTTCTGTATTTCTTCTCTACTCCCCAGTCTTACCGTTTAACTTTGAATGCTATTTATTCAAATAGCCAGTGAGGAGTTACAAGATCGGGTGTCCATGAAGTTGGTGTAACGTATACGTAGGTGATAATATGTAAGTGTTCTGATAACATGATTCTAATAGATAGTGTTTGTGTTCTGATAACCTGCTTCCAATAGTTGTGTATGCCAAAGTCCTTCCCAGCATCCTCTTGTATTCATTATCAAATATATACTTGTAAGTTTAAAGTATTACTGTTTTCTCAGCATGAACTAAAAATATTCCGTAACTCAGCTAGGCATGGTAGTTCATGCCTATAATCCCAGCATTTGGGAAGCAGAGGCAAGAGGATTGCTGTAAGTTTGAGGCCAGCCTGTCTGCATAGGGAGGTCCAGGCCAGCCAGGGATATATATCAAGGTCTTGTCTAAAAAAATCATATATATGTGTGTGTATGTATACAGATACATACACATATATATGTATTCCTTAACTCTGATTGTAAATAAATGTTTGCTGTTAGGGATTTCAGTGTGTGTGTTTCTTTTTCTTATATCTTGAACTTTGCACTAAGGGTTAAAAGTTTCATTTATTCTAGAGAAGAGAACTTGCTTATTGGAAAACAGTATAAATAAAGCTAACTGAAGAATGGAGCCAGATTTTAGCCCAGGAATGACTTTAAATGTCTGATATCTGTGATTTTTCAGTTAAAAGAAAAACATAAGAAGCTACTGAGCAAGATAATTATATGAAATCAATGTTTAAAAATAACTTGTCTATGCTGTATGGACTGGTAGCAGTTGGAGAAACTATGTTAGTAATCCAGGCCTGATCTGGATTGAAAGTCTCCAGTGCTGGTCAGATAGCTCAGTGGATAAAAGCCCTGACCACCAGGCCAGGTGAGCGGAGGTCCATTTCCAAAAACTATATGGTAGAAGGTGAAGACAGATTCCTGCAAGTTCTCCTGTGATCTCTACATGCATGCCTACGTGTATAAATGCACATACAGAGACACACTGAATAAATAAAAATTTAAATGTTTAAAAAGTCAGTTCAAAGAAGTAATTAATAAATGAATGAATGAATAAAATCATGATGAAAAGTAAGATTTACAAGGTCCAGCAGTGGTTACTATTTTATTTATATATTCTGTGACACCAAATGCACCTTAAAATATTAACTAGAATTGCTGTAACCTCTAACCTTTTAAGTTCCATTAACATTACAACAAAACACACAGGCACACATTTAGGAAATACACAACCCTATGGACTCATCTCATTGCTCCTGTACTTCATAGAATAAAATGTTGTCCAATGCTGGGTTGTGCCTTTAGGCTACATAGAGAAATGCTGTCTCAAAAAGTCAAAAGAAATAAATGTCTTCCAGCATCAGTCTTTCCCATCTTGATTTTTTATCATTACCAGTTGAGAAATAAGTAGTTTTTATTAAGTAGCAAAGAGTATGTTTTTAAGTAGCCTATGTTGCATAGACTCAAAAAAACTTCATGGGAGTAATTTTAGAATCTGTATTAATGCACAAGAGAAATCTTTCAGGTATATATTCTAGACTCTTCATCCTATTAGCATGTAGGAAAATAAAAATACCAAATGAATAGAGGTCTGTTCAATAACTACTGTGAGTCATGGTTTGGCTTGTTCTTGTCTTTAGTGTTTAGGATGGAATTTTGAAGGAAATGTTTGACAGGTTTCTTTAAGTAGTTAGATAGACCATGAAAACATGTATTTGGAAGTAGGTGGATAAAAATAAAAAAATAGAGTTGTGAAAATGACACTATGAAGTGATGCTTTTTATACTATTATGTGAGTAAGATGGGATAGTGGTTCTCAAACTTAAGCACGTACACGATCACCTAGAGATAGCTTCTTAAAAAGTATTTGTGGCTCAGGAGTTAAGAGCACCTGTTGGTTCCAGTACCCATGTGGTGATTTGCAACTATCCATAAATCAAGTGCCAAGGAATCTAGCACACCCCTTTCTTGACCTCTGCAGTCACCAAGCACACATGTGGTGCATATACATACATGCAGGCAAAATACTCATTCATATAAAATAAATCTAAAATAAAAATTTCAAAACATAGATCGCTGTCTCAGACCCACCTTGAAAGTTCATTCAATAGGTCTTGGGTGGACCTCACGAATCTACAGTTCTAGCTGGGCATGGTGGTGCATGCCTTTAATCCCAGCACTTGGGAGGCAGAGGCTGGGGGATCTTGAGGTTGAGGCCAGCCTGATCTACTAAGAGAGTTCCAGGACAGCCAGGGCTCTGTCAGACAGAAGAGCCGTGTCTTAAAAAAAACTACAGTTCTAGTGGGTTTGCAAATGGTGCAGAAGCTGGACATACTCATCCAGGGACTATATTTTGGAAAGCATTGCTTTAGGGAAAAGAAGAAATGTATATGTGGGAGCAGTTGTTACAAAATATGTTCATTAGACATGATGCTAAGAAAAATGTTTTAAATCACTGCTTCTCAAAATGATCATCAAGTTTCAGACCAAACAGCACTGTTTTAGATTAAAAAGCAGTAATTTGGAAGCTTTTATTTCGTAGGTAATATATTACAAATGAAAATTAATTAGCATAATGAGAGTGTGGTTAGCCATGTTGCTAAACAAATGCAAACAGTACTACTTCAGTACTTGAGTCTGAAGTTGTGTGTTATAAGATTGTCTCATTTTAATCTTCATGATCATGCCAATAGATAAGTACTCTTATGACTGTTCCCATTTTGCAAGTTAGAAAACTGTTTAATAAGCTAAGAAACTTAAGCACAGTCATATATTATTGGAGAAGCTAATGCTTGAACTCTAGTAGTCTAATCCACAACTATTAATATAGCCTTCCTGAATTTCACTCCAATTTAATAATGGAGAGTATGAGTTACGCCCTCATATATGTAACATGTCTATTAGACTCTGTATTGCTCTGTAAAAATAGTAAAGCAAACACTTGCAAATCCACCTCACTCCATTTTTTCTGGAGCTTGACTTCATGGATTAAGAAACTCCCACATGCCAGGTGGTGGTGGTGCACACCTTTAATCTCAGCACTCGGGAGGCAGAGACAAGCGGATCTTCGTGAGTTCGAGGCCAGCCTGGTCTACAAATTGAGTTCCAGGACAGCCAGGACTGTTACACAGAGACACCCTGTCTTGAAAAACCAAAAAAAGGAAATAAAAAACAAAGAAAAGAAAAGGAAAAGAAACTCCCACAGTAGAAAATGCAAAACAGGAAACCAAAAGGAGAAACGATAGAGCTTCAAGGATGTCGGTCACACATAAGCAACTCTGCAATATTTAAGTTTTCCCTAAACTGCTACTGTGAAGGATTATAGCCTCTACTTCTTTAGGGTCCTTTTAAAAGGGGGGGGGGCAAATACATAACTGTTTTAGATCTCCAAAAACAGTGCTTTGCAAAACACAGGCTATGATTTCATACTTAAATTCCTGGCTTCTCTTTAAAGCAGGAACATTAATTATTCACTAACAAAATCAAAAGTTATTTTGTCCACAATCTATTATGGTTCAAATAACATCTTAAGAACCTAAGACACAGGAATGAGCAAAACAAACTCCTTGAACTCATGGAGTCATATTTAAATATTGGAAATGGACAGTAACCAATTATGTATATTAGGAGACAAAAGTACTATGAAGAAAATTAAAAGTGTTGGAGGAAGGCATTGAGCTAGGCACAATAGTTACATGTTACGTATTCCTTGGATTTGTCAACAAGGAGAAATTAAAGTTCCACATGTAATTAAAGCTACTGATCAGCTGTCCTTAAAGAGGTAAGGTTTTCTCAACATGATCCATGTGGCACAACATGTAAGGACCATTTAAATTTGTACAAGGAAGGCAGGACAATCAGTATCCAGTAATTTAAGAAAGACTGAAATCACTGTTGTGGACTTTAAAAATGGAAGCAGGTAGCCATAAGCCGAGCAATATCGTGGAGCCACTAGGAACTGACAGTGTGTGTGTGTGTGTGTGTGTGTGTGTGTGTGTGTGTAAATAAAAGGGGTTCACTTATGTCATGGAGATCTGAGAAGTGCCCAGTTGTCTGTAGTTGGCAAGCAAGAGACACATAGAGCAGTCTGAGTTCACATGTCACCAGGATCTTGGTCTCCCTGGCCCTGTGATCTCTAACAAATGAATTTAGGTGAGACACACAGGAAGTAGTATCAAATATAGACAAAGTTTAGAGTATACACTAATGGGGCAGGGGCAAACAGTGGCCACGGATATCAGCTTTCAATATGCAGTTTAGGCGGGCTGAATATTATTTTCTAAGGGATCTCTAGAATAAGAAGTTATTTCTGAGAGACTTTGTTCTGTCCAGGTAACTGATAGACCTGTTTGGTTTGTTTATTAGTTACTTTTCCATTGCTGTGATAAAATATCATGACCAAGGCAACTTACAGAAGAGAGAGCATTTACTTTACCTTATGGCTTTAGAAGGCTACAGGCCATCATGATGGGACAGCATGGACAGCAAGCAGCAGACGTGTTGGATGGAGCAGCACCTGAGAACTCATGTTTATCAGATACCAGGAAACAGAGTATGGGGGTGGAATGAACAGGGGCTTTTGAAGCCTCAAAGCACCTGCTAATCTTTCCCAAACAATAACACCAACTGGGGACTAAGTATTCAAAACTAAGAGCCTGTGAGGGCTGTTCTCATTCAAGCCACCACAGCTTATGTCCTACAAGAGGGGAACTGATACATCCTTCTTTATCAGTAATCACATGAGGTTTAGGGGTCCTATTTCCATGCCGTTAAGGATGTCATGTTTCCTCCAACGGCCTGAGATATGATTCAGGCCCAATTTTTCTGACAGCTGTTAAAATCCTGATAATCAATTTTCTGGGTTGTTTTTATTTTCCAAGTCAGTAAGGCCAGTCTCTTGCTGCCAGAAAGATCATTCCTTATTTTCTGTTCATCTTCTTTGGATGAGGCTCACCCACATTAGAGAGCCAATTTCCTTTATTCAGTGTACCAATTCAAATGTTATTTTAATGCAAAAACAGGGTCATGGACATGATGTATTTTTACACCTTATGGACCTTAAACCTTATGGACCATTCAAGTTGACAGAAACTAATAACATTTCCTCATTTTGTTAGGGAAAGCAGAGATAATGTTACTTCCATGATGGAATGATATTTGAACAAAGATGTGAATAAAATTAATGAGCTATATGCATTAGGGGAACATTGTCGAGGCTGAAGAAATAAGTATAAGATCTATGGTTTAGTTAGAGGAGCAGCAGCCAAGTGTATTGAGAAATAGATGAGATTGTATGGAGTGTTATTTTTAAATTGGGTCCAAGCAAGATGATCTAGCAGGGAAAGGCACTTCCCCAATAAGCCTGGGAACCTGAGTTCAATCCCTGAATGACATGTAAACGGATAGGGAGCAAACTGACTCTACAAAGTTGTCCTCTGACTGCCATGTGTGTACCATTGTGTGTGTCCACAAGCACACATGATAAAAATTAAAAGTAGGTTCTTTAGGTGACTGAGGAGTGTGATGTTTATGTCCATATAAGTGAGAAAACCATTGGAGAGGTTTTAGGCTGAGGACCGCTAGAGAATAGACTGGAGATACGAGGAAATGAAATGTAGGTATTTATAATAACAAATAAGATGTTGGGGTTTTAGGCCAGAAAAAATGAATTAAAAGGATTCTGGCTAGTTTCTTAGAGCCAAAATGAGTTGTTGTTTTTTTTTTTAAGATTTTATTTATCATGTATACATCATTCTGCTTCCATGTATATCTGCACACCAGAAGAGGGCACCAGATCTCATAACGGATGGTTGTGAGCCACCATGTGGTTGCTGGGAATTGAACTCAGGACCTCTGGAAGAGCAGTCAGTGCTCTTAACCTCTGAGCCATCTCTCCAGCCCCCAAAATGAGTTCTTAATGAGGTGTGTCCAACCTGAATCATGTAAAAGCCGAGGTTCTCTGCTTGAGCAAGTAGCTTAATGGAGGTGTCTGAGACTGACTAACTGCAGGAGAATCCAGCTCGAAAAAGGAGTTGGGAATTGTCCAGTGCTGTCAGGCATGAACAGAGACATACTGCATATTCCAGTCTACCAGTCTTAACTCAGGAGAGATAGAACCTAGACATTCACATTTAGTCTTGATACTGTATGACCCATCTAAACAGTGAGTATAGACAAAATGGATTAGGAAGATATTTAATATATTAGCTCTTGCAAAATGGAAATGACGTCTCAGGGGTATTATAATAGATGATTGAAGAATCTTAGTATGACTCTTAGAACTACGCAGGCAAAGAGGAAGCTTCTGTCTTCCACGTCCTTTACATAGAGTGCCAGAAGAAGGCATGGCCCACATTAAAGGTGGATTTTCCTGCCTCAGAAGATCTGAATTAAAAGTGGGTCTTGCCACTTTAAATTATTTCATTAAGAAAAAATCCCACTGAGCAGTGGTGGCGCACACCTTTAGTCCCAGCACTCGGGAGGCAGAGGCAGGTGTATCTCTGTGAGTTTGAGGCCAGCCTGGTCTGCAGAGCAAGTTTCAGGACAGCAGGTATACACAAAGAAGCCTTGTGACAAAAACAAAAACGGGGGAGGGGAGAATTCCTCACAGGTGAACCCAGACACTTGGGTTTTAGTTAATTCCAGATGAATTTAAGTTGACAACCAAGAATAGCCATCAAAATGCATCCCTTGTCAACTTGATACACAACCATACCTCCTTATGCCATGCTTTATTTCCAAATGAAAACATTAACTGGGTC